TAACCAATGTAAAGGACTCTGAGATTGCCACAAGACCCCTTTGGGCATAGACTGAGTTGGAAAAATAATTAAAAGCTTTGGCAGAGATGGGTCAACTCTAGAGAGCTGAGCATTAGAAAGAGCAGATTAGCTTTACCTAAGGCAGTTTTAGCCTCTGGTGTAAGTGTTCCTTGAGAAGTGGGGGCCGGATCTCCCTTGAGAATGTCAAAGAGAGGACTTAAACCCTGAGTACTGGCCGAATGGCTGCAGCCACACACTCGGCACAGGGTCGGACTCTTTGCCATTCCCCGTGGCGGACAGCACCATTGGAAGCGGCGCACAGGGGCCTGGTTATTAATAGAGAGTAAGCGAAAAGCAGCACATTTCTTATCTTGAGGGTGGAGAGGGATAGAAGAAAAAAAACAGTCCTTTAAATCACTCACCATAAGAGAAAAATGTAGGGGAATAGCTACAGGATTGGGCAATCCTAGTTGTAGTGCTCCCATAGGTTTCACGGTGCAGTTGACTGCCTGCAAATCTTGGAGCAATCTCCATTTTCCTGACTTTTTTTTTTTTTTTACAAATATTGGGGTATTCCAAGGGCTATTGGAGTGCTCTAGGTGCCCTGCCATCATCTGTCTGTTCATTAATCAGTGTATGAGCTGCTATAATCTCCTAAGGGACCATTGATGAACCCAGACAAGGTCATCAGACATCCAAGTTATCTGGGATGCCATCCGTGGGGTCGGGTTGATGCGGGAGGGAATCTTCTGCCACTTAGCTACTCCCTGGAGCCATTAGGTTAGAACACACCACTCCCACCTGGACACGCCTTGGCAGGTGTCAGTGCTAAGCAGCAGCTTACTGCTTCATTGTCTGGCGCAGCACCTGGGGCGCGAAGCCCTGCAGGAAGCCATAGAGCTCAGGGAACAGGCCCGTTAAGTCCCCGATGAGGGTGAGCGTCCCCTCTGTCTGGGAGATGTTTGCCAAAAAGATGAGGAGCTCAGTCCTTGCTCCCTGCGCCCCACTGTCACTGCCAGGTCCGACCAGCTTCTGGTCAGCCCCTGTATCGCCCTCCCGGCCCTGCTGTCGCCCTTGCCACGTGCCGTACCACAGGGTGCAGCGCCAGCCAGCGCGGCCCTGGCCTTGTTCCCCGGGGCCGGGCACTGGCTAGGCACCAGCGGCAGGTCCCTGGCTGTCTGAGGCTTCTCATGCCCCATTTCCACACCGCCTTGTTAGCCTCCACCACTGTCTCCTCCTTTTGCTTCTTGACCGAGGTTTCCTGCGTGTCTCCACAGCTCCTCATCCCC